GAGAAAAATTGTTACTTATAATTTCTATTCGCCGCAGATGAATTGCTCATTTTGATTTTATTTATCCCGGGTAACGCCGGATAATACAGCAAGTATACCTATTGAAATATATGTCATCAAGAAATTGCAACCAACAACGCACAAATTGTTATCATTATCATAATATCATACCACAGTTGTCGATCCGCAATAATATAGCTGCTGCTACTTGTCCAACCAACGCTCAATAAAACATATAGATAAAACATTATTCGACCGTTTTCGATACACATGCGACGTGCGAATATGCAATACACGTATATTAGTGCCATAATATATATTATATACATAATACAAATACATAGTAGGTTTTAAGTACGTATAGGTATATTATTATTTTATTATGTTATGAAATATTCTGAGGACGACACAACCCGTATTTAACCTGTTAACGTTTAAATTCGAAAAACTTGTACACGCATTTGATAATGATTAAAATAATAATATTTATACACACACGCATACCATGCATGAGATACAAAACGCCGATAATCTGCGGCCTGTGTGGTCTCGCGTCGTTTTCGACTGTTATAATAATATTATGCTATTTGCATGTGCGCGCCACGTCGGGGAGACTGAACCTAATATATAATAAATAAATATAAACAAATATATACAGGTATATATTCGTGTGTGATTATACATTGTACATGTATTAGTACAGAACATGCTGAAGAACGCTTTTGGAGAGTGCACGCGTAACCCCGGCCATATATTCTGCGTGTATATATAGGATAGGTACGTCTATAATACCTGCTGGCGCTGGGTTAATAAATAATTATAGACTCAGTTCCATGAACGTACTATGAGACTAGTAAAAAAAAAAACCAGGTAGGCAGGCAAACTGGATTGATCTTGTTTACCGAACGGACGTGGAAATTATAATAATAATGTACACACAATGTATATGTACATAAAGGTAATACTATGTATACACATGAGCGGTAATTCTTGGTGGAGGAGGACACGGTGGCGACGACGGATGGATCGACGGCGATTTGTAGTACGTTTATTATTTTTAAGCTGCGGACAATTTAATATTATTATAAAATTGATTGCATACTGTCTGTGTTAGACTTGTAGTTAATGAGTTATAAGTATTTAAAAATTAAAAAAAAAAAACCATGAGATTTTCGAATAAAAAAAATGAATATGTAATTGAATATAGGAATAAAACTCTTAGACCTTTGCAATGATAACAATAATATTTAACATCAAAACCGTGTACACTTTATAATGAAATATTTATATACAACTATACGAGACTGCAAGAAAAGTTTAAAACGATAAAGCAAGAGATAGAAGAGATAAGAAATTCCATTTAGGTCAGTTTTCTACTGTATTCAGATAATGTAAAGTTAAAAACATATTAAGTAAAATGAGATCTTTTTGTCCTGTATTGCGTTCTGTTTTAAATAGTTTCACTGGTTCTGTTAGAAAAATAATATTTGGACACAGTTTCTTTTCATGATAAAAATTGCACATTGCACATTGCACATAAAATATAAATATATTATTATACAATAAAACTTCCTTGACGGACACCTCCAAACAACGGACTTTTTTTTAGAAAAAACTATAAGATTTTACTAACCGAATACTTTTAATATTAATCTTAAAGAATAGTAAAATTTTAAAAATATTTAAGCTAACTTAATTTGTGTATAATATTTGTACATCGGCAATGAATTATAAGTTAATAATTAATAATTTAATGTATGTAACAATTTAATCAAAAACTAGTTAAAATTCAACCTACTGTATTATTATTAACAAAATTAAATACTCATAGTAATTTTATTTAAATAATAAATAATAAAATATTGAAGTATAGAGACTAACACATTTTATCTTAGAATCGTATTTATGTAGGGATATTATGACTTATCATTGAACTTAAATTTTCGTACACTCAAAATCAACAACTGACAATATATTAAATACACATTCATTTAATCTATGAACAGAGCGAGTGCTTAAGTTTTTTTTAATGTTATCTCTAGATAATATTTAGTAACAACATGGAATTTCCGCAATACTATGCCACTCTATAGACAGACTCGTATGAAAAACATAAACAATATTTATTTCTGTTAGATAGAATGGAAAATATTGTGTTGTACAAAAAGTAATTTACATCAACAATATATTTTATTTACTAGTTATAACTTTTAAAGGGGGGAGAAGTAATCAATAAGTATTCGTACCAAAAAAATATTTCCTTAACCACTATTAAAAACCAGATAGGTTGATATTAAATTTTTATCTTGCTCTTAAAATTTGGTATGAGATCAAGCATAATAATATATGCTTCAGTGCCTCTAAATGCATAACTGAGTACTACGCGACTACTATTTACTGATCTAGTATACAATCGTTGTGGATGTACTCTAATCGTGTGCATATCGTGTGGCATAATAAAGTAAACGCTGACAACCAGATGCTCAATATTGCTATTCTAACGGCATGTTAGTCTATCTATAAACAACTAACAAATAATAATAATTGTTCATCGTCCATTAGCTCGATATTGATTGCCGTGTAAACACATTAACATAATAAATTAAAATTTCTAATGGCGCTGAATGCGTTACTAGATAAATATTACGTCCTATGATTATATAAATCAGATGTTAAAAATACATATTGGGTTCTAATTTTGTTTATCATAGTGTTCCAACTAAGGACGTTTTAATCGTTCAATTATTTAGCAAGCATCACTTTTACACATTCGTTTTTCTGTGCGTTATTGCTTATATTCGTTTTGGAAAAATAAAATTCTGTAAAAGCATTTGGAACGATGGTGATAACGATTAATCATTATTATAACAGTGTACTAAAAATGTGTAATAATGACAATAAAATAAAATAAAACAAAAACTATTATTCTCCTTTTCGATAAATTAAACGCAACTAAATATACACTACCGTATTCGTTTTATCTTTTTGTAGTAATTTAATATACAAAAAATAAAAACACCAAATTAATAGAAGTAAAATAATATATTTTGAAAGGAATAAACAAGGTTATTAAGAACTTTTTATTATTAATAATAATCATAAACAATGTTAAAGACAAGTGTTTGTTGTTTCCAACACATTATTTATAATCAAATATTAATAATCCAATATATAATTTTAAAAACAATCTAATATAACAATCTAAGGTAATTTAAAATGTAAGAATATTTTATTTTATTCTGATAATTTATAAAATTTCTACAATGAACTTCAGTGGTTTGTTTATAAAATATAATATTATTATATTATAGGTAATATAAGATTTTGGAATAAAAATAAGAGTACCATTTTAGTTTCGCACGCTACCTTGGCTAATGTCCAAAAGACCTGGCCAATATTCATATAGCACATAATATCTATACGTACTTTATAGCCAGAAATTCGTATAAAATAGTTTCGTGCATAATTTTTGAACCGACGAATTTATTTAGGAAATAAATCATCGAGTTTACCGACGTCAAATGCCTTACGTGATAGAAATCATTTTTGTTCCTTGTAACGAAACGTTTTTTTGGTTATTGTGATTAATTATTATAAATTATTATATTAAGTAACAAATTGGATTTAAATAAACTGTAGAGCTTAAAGATAAATAATAATAATTACGATTGACCATAAATATGTATGTGTGTGTGTGTTATGAAAATTGATATACCTATAATTATTATTTTACGCAAACCTACCTATATGCATTCATAATATTATACGTGTTTAACCTTTATTATACACAAATACAAAAAGTGCATATTCAAGTTTTTCATCACCCAAAATACTATCAAAGGTCACATACTCACATAGGTAATATATAACTTCATAAACCCTTCCGTTAGTTTTATTTCGTGATATTGATAATATTGAAAGTTATAATTTTGAATAAATCTTTTTAATAAAAATAAATATTTTGTGAAATTTTAAAATTGAATTTAAAAAATGACATAAATCAACTTATCGGTAGATGCTTATTTTTTTTTTTTTACTATTTCATAAGTATCACGAGGAAAATGCCGAATTGCACCAATTAAAAAAATACGTTTAGTTTAATTAAAATGAAAAATTTGTTTTTAGTTAATAATTTTTGATCGTCTAATTTTGTGCTAATAAATAAAATACGTAATTTTAAAATATTTATTTCTAAATAAATAAATTCCCTTCGTCTTTTTATTAATTTAAAATTTGTAAATAATATTATGTAAACGTATTATTGCACCGAAAGCAATAAATGGGCAGTGATAATACACACTGACTTTTATTTTATAGCTTTTTTTGTTTTTTATAGCATTGAAATAATAATATTGATCATCAAAAGTTTAACGAGGGGAACTTGGGTATCGCTATCTATAAAGACATATTACAGTGTATAATAAATAGCTATTAATATGTATATACTACATGAGCAAAGGTAGATGTTAAATAAAAAATATTTAGTAATTTCACGAGTTGCCATATGGAAGCAATATTAAAATTTCGTCATTAATTAATATACTTTACACTATTAATAAGTACCCACAGTATAATTTTATACACAATAATATAATTTACGGGATTGTAATATTGTATAGGTACTATCATTGTAAATTTGTAATGAAATTGTTTTTTTTACGAACTATTACAAGGTAGTCTGTGTAATTATTATTTATCCTTTATCCATAATATCCGTGACATGACAAACATACACAAATAATTGTTTAGTTGTTATTTTAAATATTTTAATTTTAATTTATTTCCACTATATTAATAATATAATAAATGTTATGACATATTATATTACTTGTATAGTTGTACAATTGTTTTAAAAGCAATTATTATAAACTGTTATTATATTTTGTGATATTTTGTATTTTTTTATATATATTGTCCGAAATATTGCCCTGTGCAGAACAGATGACGACAGTACAGTATGGTTGCCAGAAAAAAAAAGAATGTTTAACAAAAAATCTCATTGCCAACCAGCAGAACTGTAACAGACGACAGGGAGTTAAGCTCAGGCTGTAAGTACGAACGAACGCGTCAACCGAGTGTCGTGTGATGTGCTTTCGGTAGTGAATATTTTTTCTTTTAGGGAGCTCGATGGATCTTAGATGGATTTTGATTATCACCCTGCTTAGCGTCAGAGGTAATTATTTTTTTTAATAATATTTTATAATTATTGTTATCTTGTCTCATGGAAATAGTAATTATTCACATGGGTAAATTTTACACATACCTACAGGTACTAGGCAGGAACGAGATTTGTGTTTATGCTTTAATGGAATAGTTTTTTTTTTATATATATATATTATTTATAACATTAAAAAGTGTATTTATAATATGTGTATTTTACCTTTTAATAATGTTGCATACAATTAATTATAAAATAAATGACCCCATTAGGTCTGTACGGGGAAGCATTATAATTGGAACATGACTAATAAAAACTCTATTTGAGTAAAAATAGTATATAAACCGTTTAAAAATATTAAAAATGTTTTAAGAACATATATTTATATATATTATTTTTCCTTTTTTGCAAATTTTAATAACATTTTAATTATTATTATTATTATTATTATTATTATTACAATAAATTATCGATAAATGGTATTTTTTAGTGACTTTTGTTTAATGTAAATTATAATTTTATTTTATTCGTATAAATAATAATTATCTACAATTATATTTTAACATAACATTTTTTTATTTTTTTTTTTTTATCTTTTTAAGTTTTCTGATATTATGTAGTACATAATTTATGTACAATAATATCTTAAAATGATTTTAATGTAGTGTAATGCGTTTGAGATTTTACTAAAAATATAATTTAATATACAATAATATATTTAAGTAGGAGTGTTAAAACTATTGGAATGATCACATTTGTCATTGTAGTTGAAGTTGTTACATTTATTTTTCAATTGAATATAATTTTATTTTATTTTAAAAGTGCTTGAAAACATTGGAATATTAGCAAAATTATTAAGATAGTATTTAAAAATAATTTATAATGTCCTAATTCGTCCGTATAAAAACGCGAATTTTCATAAAATTGGAAACTCCCTCGCTCTACGCGATCTTGCGGCTCGCGACATTTCTATTTCTGTAGGGGCATTGGGTTATGTTGTGTATTAATAGTGTACTGACAGAACACAACTGGGACACTCTGGTTGCAATTTTCTATTTTTATATTACCAGCGAACGTCTGGGATTTTTAAATACTCTCGTTGGCGATTTTTTTTTTTTTTTTTTTTTTGATCAATATATGATCATTAGCCATTACTTTATACTTGCTATTATTGTATTGTTTTATTTATTGTCGATTATTATTTGTTTTCTCGTTTTTTAACTTAGTGCATTGTCTATCTAATATAATATCTTATTTAAAACTGTAGGATCATTTACTATTTCATTATTCAATTTTACTCCATCGCTGATTTTGGTTTAGATACATTTTGTGAGACTTTTGCCAGTGTACCATCAGCGTCTATAGCTCCATCAGAGGTGGACTGTCAACCATACGTAGAAAAAGCCATCAAAGAATTAGTTACTTCAGAACCTATTGGTAGTTAGATATTTAATATTTGTAAATTTCGTTGCATATTATATTCAGGAAGTGTGTCATATTCAGGAAGTACAGAACGCGACCAAAATATTCAGAATGAAAGCCCCACAAGTGGAAGCACTCCAAATGATGATGTTACAGGCTCGAGTTCTCAAGATGGTAATTCTCCGGATGATGGCGGACAGAGTACACTACCCAAACCGGTAAAATACATTTCTGTAATAATGAAAAGATACGATATGAAATGAAAGTTATTTTTGTACTATTTATAGGAAAAGTTCGAAAAAGAAGAAGAAGCAACCAGAGTCGAAGTAAATTTAACTGAAAGCGTTAGTTCAATAAATGAAATTGAAAATCGTGATAATGAAATAATCAAAGCTGAAGAAATTAATAAACACGAAACAACAGAAAACAATCAAACATTTAAAACTGAAGAGGAAGATAATGAAATTGAAATTGTTAATGAAGAAGAGGAAAATCTGGAAAACAATAGTAGAAACGTCGTTGAAAATGAAGTAATAGAACCTAAAATAGAACCTGTACCTATTATTTTAGACAAAGATGTAATTAACAATAACGTCGAAATTATAATTGATGTTGAAGATATCAGAAATAAAAATTCTGAAAAAATAGTAGAACCTAGTGTGACTAAGACACAAGTAGAAGAAACAATAGAAACTACTAATATTAATGTAAAAATAGAAACTCCTAAACAAGTATTTAAAGGGACAAAAAAAAGAAACCCAAAATATTGGAAGTTTGATCCAGACGATGAACCTGAAAATACTATTCCAATTGTAAAACCAAAACCAAAACCAAAAAGAAATCCAAAATACTGGAAATTTGATCCCGATGAATTTCCACTCGAAGAAACACCCAAACCAGCTGAAACTCCAAAATTACGTAATCCTAAATATTGGAAGCTCGATCCTGAAGAAGAAAAATTGTACAAGTTACAGGAAGCTAAAAAGACTGAACAAATAAAACCAGTTCCTCAGAAAAGTAAAAGAAATCCTAAGTACTGGAAGTTTGATCCAGACGAAGAGACAAAAGAAGTTAACACCGAAAAATCGTCAACAATTGATAATACGTCAAAACAAGATTCAAATCAAATTTTCAAAGGAACCAAAAAACGAAATCCGAAATATTGGAAATTTGACCCAGATGAATATGAAGATGAAATAAAAAAAGAGCCAGTAGCTAAACCTAAGCGAAATCCTAAATACTGGAAATTTGATCCTGACAATGAACTCGATGAACCTAAAAAAACGGTTGAAGAAGATAAAACAGAAAAAGAAGCTCACAAAAAAAATAAATATTGGAAAATTGATGAACAAACTGAAGACATAAAAATAATAGAAAATAAAGAAGAAGAAGAAGACAAATCAAAACAAAACATGTATAAAAAAACCAATGAACCTAACGAGAATACAAAAAAAAATGATCAAAATGAAGAAGGAAAACTAAAAAAGAATAAATATTGGAAAACTGAGGAAGTGGAAAGTATAATACCCAAAGATGAAATAAGACTAGAAGAACCAACTATAAAAAAAAATAAATATTGGAAGACAGAAGAAACAGAAAAACAAAAAGAAGTGAAAGATGAAGATATAACATCTAAAAAAAATAAATATTGGAAAACAGATGAAAAACCCGTAGACCCAGTAAAAGAAAAATTAATAGAAACTCAAAGAACTATGTATTGGAAATTAGACGAAGAAGAAAAATCACCAAAATGGGAAAAACATACAAATAACGAAAAAATTAAAAGTACTGGAGGTAAAAATAAAAATTCATTAGAATTTATTGACAAACACATTTTTATGATTACTTTTATGTATTTAGATGAAGTCATAGTTGAAGAATACCTACCAGAAGAAGATTTGACAATGGTAATACTATTTAATTTAATAGCTTTTAAGTCATAATTTAAGCTAAGCATAATATCATGGGGTAGCTCAACAAATTAACGATAGTTTTTAAAACATTATTAATTTTTAAATGAAAATCTCAAAAAAATAATTATAATTTAATAATTTAGGACGAAATGGTACCAAAGAATCTAAGAAATAAAAGTCATATAAAACAAACGTTAAAAATAGGTGAAAACATTGCACAGTATGATAGTTTTCTATCAAAGGTTGTAGATTCTACATTAAAAGAACTAAAAAAAGTATATGAAGTGGCAATAAAACCTTTGGAAATGACTTTCAAGTACAGAGATCTTAGTAACAGACATTTTGGAGGTAATTAAAATTATTTATATATAACATTTACACTATGACATAGTTACTAAACACGTACTGTTTATTATGTTTTAGAGCCAGAAATATTCTCAAAGCCTCTTATTTTGTTTATGGGACCTTGGAGTGGTGGTAAATCTTCAATAATTAATTATCTTTTGGACATTGAACATTCTCAATTTGCATTAAGAACTGGTAAGTAGGTCTATATGCAGACCAATTTGTGTAATCATTTCCTTATACAACTAATCTAAATTCTTAAAATCAAAATTTAAATTGACAATTTCTTTTTTTATTGTATTTAATACCTACTTAATTGGTATCAGTTATATGTTATAAGTTCTAATATATTTTTACGTAATTTTGAATTACTCAAAATCTTAATATTGCAGTAAATGTAATGATAAATCTAGCCTATGCGTATTTTTACGCATACAAGTATAATATCGATCTTCGCGCAAAATACTTTTTACATATTAATATAATGTAGTTAATTAAATAATATTGATAGTTCGTGAAAATATATATTATGTAAGTAACATTTAGTTATCATTCATAAAATAAACTCATTTTTTAATTAAAAAATGTACACATTATATAAAAATATGTGATGTACCTAAGTACAATTTATAATAAAGCATGGAAGTAAAAGGTAAGTTCACTGTCCTCTGTTCAATGACACTATTTAAAAAATACAAAGTAAGACTTTTTTTAAATTAATTTATAAAAATAATATATTTCTCATTTCTCTGTAATTTCGTAGCACTGGCACTGTTAACCACCATATTAATAAATATTATATGTTCATGGTCGATAACGCAAAAGCGGTTTGATCGAGAAATAAATGACAAAAGCTGACGACGACAGCATTTATACTTCATTGATTGACAGGCGATGAGAATATTACGGTTAATCGCTCGAAACAATATTGTACACAATGTGCACCGCGATCACACCGCTAAAGTTTATATCACGGTTAAAAAGTGATTGCCTGAGGATATTATTTTAATGTTACCACGTGCAGTAAAAATCAAAGAACAGATGGAAATTAATAAAATAGTTACAGTTAAATAAACTTACTTAATAGGTCACGGAAAAGAAAATTATCACCAGATAGTGTTACTCCTACTTTTTTCAAATAGGAACACATGGGACGGTACTATATTTAGGTTTCTTTTTTTTTTTTACAAAATATTTTGTAAATATTGATTTAGCAATACATGATAAACATAAATATTAATAGGTACATCGCAATATTTAATTCAGCCAACTATGTGTCATCGTAGATTCTCAAGAACAGGATTGCAGATAAAATATACTATCCTAAAAGACAAGAACTAAGAAGACTCTAATTTCTCACTTAATTTATTAAATATAAACATGTTATTTCCGAATACACATTATTTGAATGTCTGATTGTTATGTTTGCTTGCATTTAAGGAGCGGAACCATCTCCAGCGTATTTTAACATAATGATGTACAATAATCGCGAAGCAATTCTAGATGGAACGCAATTAGCAGCCGACTGGACGTTTTCGGGTCTTCAGAAATTCGGGCAAGGTCTGTTGGACAAGCTCCGTGGACTCAAATTACCTCATCCTTTATTAGAGAAGGTAAACAATTTTAAAATCTTTAGGTAAATTGTATACATAGTTAATGAACACCGACTTGTATTATCATGTCCATGCATGCAGTATTATTATAATTTATCTATATGAATTATAGATAGATTCTTTTAACAGATGACACTCATTATTTTTATCTTTGAAAAAATTTTATGTACCTATATATTTAATATTTTTTTAGTAATTGCCTATATAATTTTGTAGATTTCATTACTTAAAGAAGAATATTTTTATTGTAAAACAAATCAAGTACTTACCTAACACAAGAATAATTTATTCATCCAAATTTGATCTTTCAGTAATTACTAATTAGATAAAGAAAACAACAATGGATACTATGTTACATTTTTTTTTTTTTTTTTTATTTGCTTTATCAACTTTATAGTGTATAATGAAATATTATATTTCTTATTTTTTTTAATGAGCCAATCGAATGACTATTCGCTGTTAAAAGAATCACCCTCTAGTTTGTAGCATCATAATATCAAAAATCTTATGTGCTTTTTCCGCAGGTAAACATCGTAGAGATACCCGGAATATTAGAAATGCGTAAACACGTGGACCGGGTATTCCCGTTCAACGATGTGTGTCAGTGGTTCATCGACAGGGCTGATATGATATTCTTAGTGTACGACCCGGCGAAATTGGACGTAGGCCCGGAAACCGAAGCAATATTGGACCAACTTAAAGGCAGAGAGTATCAGGTTAATATATTAAGGATATAGAGTATACTTTATTACCACCGTTAAGTAAGGTTTATTTTTTTTAATTTGGTCTCTCGCCTAACAACATTATTACGTGCATGGCACATATTTATTATGTAGTTACCTACTATATTATAATTTTATTATATTATTAATAGATACTTGCATTAAATTTGTTTAATTTATCCTTCTCAATGTCTTGTGTTTAGACAAGGATATTGTTAAATAAAGCTGACAAAATTCGCGCTGAAGAACTGATGCGCATACAGGGAACGCTCATATGGAATATAAGTCCGCTCATGTCCAGCGCCGAACCTCCAGTCATTTACTCAGTGTCATTGTGGTCAAACCCGTACGAAATCGGGTCTCCAGCCAGGCTGCTTCACTCACAAGAACTGTCATTCTTGAAAGACATCCGTTCGGCAATCGACAGGCGTGTTGAAAACAAAATAGCCAGTGCTCGGCGATTCGCGGTACGAACAACTATAATATAATAATATGATCTAATAATTATCTAAAGTATGTATATACACAGTTTTTAACTAAAAACTACTCAAAATTAAAACATATGCTTACAAACATTTTTATTTTTACATAAATATTATTATATGAATATTTAATCAAAGTGATTTTTAATTTTAGTGTTTTAAATTATGGTTAGTTATAGATTTCTTATAATTATTTAAATTATGAAAATATAATATTCTACTCTAGGAAAAAAATATAAACTATAGCATAATACCTATTAAAATACTAGTTGAAAAATTAAATATATAAATAATCAATTTTTTCTAAAAAAAAATATTAAAAATGTATAATATAGTAATTCAAATTATACTTAAACATTTATTTTCAAGTTTGCAAAAATCAACTTAAACCCTCATTGTTTTAACCGGTTAAATATTAAAATGGATCTCCCCATATTTACAATATAATTTATACTATTTTATGATTATTGATTATATTTGACAATTTTATAAGTAATAATATAGATAAACATAAGTAAATATGTTACAATATTACAGGTGAGGGTGCGAAACCACGCAAAGATGGTCGACTGTTACCTGACCACGTATTACAACCACAAGTCGTTCTTCGCGAACAGAAAGACCGTTAGCGACGACATCATTGAAAATCCACAAAACTATCACATTTACGAGGGCTTGAGCACGCTGACTAATATATCGAGATACGATCTGCCTGATCCGGACGTGTACCGAGACTTCTTCCGACTCAACCCTGTGTATGAGTTTAAGCGGCTATCCGATACATGTACGTATTTCCGAGGTTGTCCGATCAACAAACTGGACATGGCCATTGCTTATGATCTGCCTGACCTGATCGGCCAATATAAAAGACAAGAAGAGCAACTGGTGGTGGAGGCGCCTTGAAAATGTCACGATGATGTTATCTGAAATCCATCGTATAAACAGCTGAAATATTATATTGTTTAATATTCAAATATTATGGTTTTACCAATTATTTATTTGTTTTCGTGTAGAATGTTTTTTTTCTCTCTTTGATTTATATTAAATTGTTAGATAATAATGTGTGTGGGCCCAAAAAAAATGTTACCATTTCAAACGAACAAAAAAGTACATCTTAAAAACGTGACCACTGCAATAATAGTATATCATAATATGATATCACAGACTAGATCAAATGTAATCCATTCTGTGATAATATCATGTACATTATGGTCATCAAACGAAGTTCATTATGGTAAACACCGCATTACAATATTATATAATTATATTACATAATTATTATAATTTATTGATAATATTATCGCGGTAGTCTTTTTTTACGAACACCTTTTAAGTTTATTAATTTTCGTTAATTACTATTTTCGGTCGAGTAAGATTTTGGGACCAGTGACGTGTTTAAGATGCTATTTTTAAGTTGGAAATGTGAATCCAACCGAATGAGATGCGTATACCATATAGCGGCTTCCAAAACGGCTAGTTTGTTCACATAATTTATTGGCAATTGAACTACTCGGTGGGAGGTATACGCATACACATAGTATAATATTATACAGGAAGCTGGTGGTGTTTTTTCCAATATTCCGCATAGTTATCACCACGGTAAGACGGTAAAACACTACAGTTTGCTATGTATATATTGTGATTTGAGTTACAAGAATGTTTTATGCCAACAAACGAATTTGCAAATTATTATGAATATCATGTTCAACATTGATATCTAATATTTATCATCTACAGTTTAAGCAATATTTAATTAGAAATTCTTAATTGTGTTTTTTCAATTATTATACAATAACCGAGAGGTATATCTTGTATCTACACTAAAAATAGCTAGTGCTGACCGTCTAAATACCTTATACAATCCAAACTGCTATAAAATTGAATTATTGATTATATACTCACAATTTACATATTGTAAGTAATAGATTTTATTATAATCACATATTTATGAATAATATTAAGAAATTTAAAAATATTTTTATGTTTATCTGTATATATTTAAATAAAATTATCAAACGGTTAATGAATAAAGTTTCTTCATAGTATCATTTTAATTAAATGCAGATTTAAGACTATTCACAATATAATATTATATTATTATAATAACAAAACAAATAATTATTTTTCATACTGTTAAAATTTTATGTCAACACGTTAAGAGAAGCTGAATTAATTTTATGCTGTTGGAGACAATTTACTCATCACATAACTTAAAGATGAGAATATTATTTAGAATAGAGGTTGGTAAGCAATTTCTAATAGAGTTCGGAAAATTAAAATAGAAAGTGAATGAAGTCCAGACAAAAAAAATGTTTTTGTCAAATCTTTATAATAAATTATTTACATAATCTAATTGAGATATTTAAACATTTTGATGCTCCAGCATTTTAATTTTCGTAGTCCGAGACCGAATTGTGGTCCGTCAATTGTTGCCGACTGTTGACCTAGGGCAGAGATGGGCAACTCAAAATTACTAGAGGGCTAATTTTTAGAAAATTAAAATCTAGCTATCCAAAACATAAAAACAAAAAAAAAGTCATTCAAAATATGCATTTTAATTAGCATTTATTTTGTTTATAGAATAAATTAGGCTCGCGGGTCACCAGTTTCCCACCACTGGTCTAGGGCATAATGAAAGCTTTTATTGATTTATTAATTTTAAACTAACCATGCAATTTATAATTATAATATCAAAATTTTAAAATGATCATAAATATCTTTCAAATGTAAACGTCAATTCAAGTCTACGTGAAGCCCTAGATAATATTTTACTTTTAAGTTTGATAATAAGTAAACTGACTCTAATATTAAAACAAACAACGTAAAATGAATTCTGCTGAACGCAAATTTAGTATAGGTAAGTTATGAGACAACACATAAAGTTGTCCTCTTAATCTTTCTACGCAAAGATTTATATGCACTAAAAACCATTCAAGTATAATATACTTACTCATACGCGTTTAAATTCTATATAAAAAAAAAAATTATTTCCTCAATTTTATTTAGTAATAAACTTTAAACATTTGATAAATAAATCAATGTTCCGAAATCTGAAACGACATTTTCTTACTAGTAGGTATGTAAATTACCTGATAAAAAAATAACATTACAGTTTATAGACACATTTATCTTTACCTAACTGTTGAACATATTCAGCCATCCAGGTAATCTGTATACATAATTATTTTTATTTTTTTTTTTTTATTTATCTTATTTTTAAGCCCAGGAATTAAGATTATTAGCTGTACAATAGGTTTTTTGTTTAGGGATTGTTTTCACTAAGAACTCAGAAGGTTATCCAATATAATAATTATTAAAATACATTAATATTTATATTAATCAAAAAAAAAAAAATAAAATAAAAATTTAAATAATAATTTTTTTTCTTGTTTTGACAATAATAAATAACTTTTAAAAATTCCTACATAATATCTAGGATTTTATTAAAAAATTAAATATTTGAGTTGAAATTGTACAAGTCTTTAAAACATCACAAGTTAAAAATATGCACTAAGTGTTTCAAAAATTTTCATTTTCTATGCCTAAAAACATAATATGTCTTATGGCTTATGAATTATGATCAATCAGAGTACCTATTATAAAATTATGAAATCTCAAACAAATCCACGTTCTATCATAAAGTATTATAATAGTACCTAAATATTAGTATTTAGTAATAAGTAATAGAGCATTGTTTCGTCTTAACAGTAGACATTTTTTGTTTGATTTAGATAGGAGGTGTATGTAACTCGTTTAAACCATGGCAAATAAATAATATCTAATTTCTCTTACCTATTATTTAATATCTACTTACTGACTAGGTACGGTAAAGTGTTAAGTTAATAGTTACTGATTCATCTACAGTGCAGACTGTACCTATTTTTCGTGTCACTATCTTTATAAACTTTACTATAAGCGGAATAATAACTAATAAATTGAATTTTAGTCTCTTTATAATGGTGGAATAGCATCTAATTTTCACGACAAAATATAGTAGAATATACTATCTTATACAGGTTTAGAATGTTTAGATCATAATGTTAATACATAGTATTGTATAAATAACCTGTAACCCGACTATAATATACCTTATTATGTTATATTACTTACTATAGTAAAACTCAGTTGAAGCCAACAGGCAACAGCCAACTACTGTCTTATCAGTTTATTATGTTTCGGCTTATCGTTACCTTTTTTATCACTTTACAAAAAGACCGCGATAATGATGATAATGAAACAAAACTTGTATCTGTTATTTCTCTTTATCAGTGGACGATAGCCGATGGGTTAGTGTCTTGATAAATAAATATATTATTATTATTATTCCTACAGTTGCTTTCATTTAGGAAGTGTCTATTTTTAGTATTATTACTTCTTAGTTCTCGCATCATGTACGAACTTTTAAATGATATTTTGGAATGTATTGAGTTTGTGTCCAGAAGCGTGCTGTCTAACCTTTCAGAAGTAGTAGAAACATGGGATCGAAGCTCACAGTTGTATGCAGGCATTGTTGAAAAAATTAACGTGGCCTGGAGGTAAAGAATCATTATGGCACAATATTTGAATTTGAAAAGATATTGCTAAAGTTAATTTAACTAAATGGTCTTTTTCTAGATTTGTATTTGTTTAAATTTAGTATTAAGATATTAGATACTTACATTGATAATTTACTGACCAATTACTTCATATAATGTGCAAAAACAAAATAATAATATAAGTTAAAAGTTATGTTGTTTATAATAAATTGTATTAAATATGAACCAAACATTCAATTTTTAAATTGCAATGAAAAATAATATTGATAATAATTGGTAAACAAAAAAACAAAATAAAATACATCTAAAGAGGTCTCAATGTTAAAAATTCTTTAAAGCGATTAAAAAATGTATATTATTAAGAATTTCATAGATGGATATTTAAGTACAAGAGATTTATTTAAAGATACTATTTAAATACACCTATTACTTAAGTCCAAGTTTATTAAAAAAAAATGTTGTTAGTATAGTACATGTACCAATTATCTGTACAAAAAATTTTTTGATACCTAAAAATCAGTACGTATAGATACTAGTAATTAATTTACTTTTTGATGAATTATTTTTATGTTAACTACCTGCCTATCTTATATTATAATTAAACATTATTTTACCAATATCTATTTCATTAACATGATAAGAACAGAATATTTCTATTGAATGTGTCAATTACACTTTTGGACTTTTTTTTTGTATCTTAACTCTTACTCCTCATTAATATTTATAGTAATAAAAATAAAGAAATTCTTCATATAGTTTTTTTTATGTCATGAATAATATTTTTAATTTTTTTCAAAAATATTATGTAAGTTACCTAATAGTTAATAATTTATCAAATGATTTCTTTAGCAGCTTACATATCATTTTTGCAATATAACAACATTTTATTGCGATAATGAGTATTTTTTTGTTTTAAAATAATTGCTTTGTATAATTAGTACATTTTAGTGAGTAATGTTACAAAATTTATTAATAATATCTAAAATATTTTTTTTTTGTTTAATACACAAGTTAATTATGTGAGTCTGATAATTGATGGCAATTGAACCTTTGGAAAATGATATTTATCCGATCTGTGGATGTGCAAAATGCAACCTTCTCTTAAGATTTGTAACAGTTAAACACCCTAAACTGCCATAGCTTATTTTTTGTTTTTGCTATAGAATATAATATACTATTATCAAATAAAAGAACTGAATATGTCTGAAAAATAATATAGTATTCATTATTTCAGGGCTCCTTTGGATACAGATTTTTTAGAAGAATTCCCTGATATTAGAAATAAAGTAGCAAAAAAACTTGAATGGCTTGGAAATGATCAACTTACAGTCTTGCGTTTACTTATGTAGGTATAACTATAATAGTCATATTATTGTATAAAATAAAATGATCATATTTGTGTTGTAATTGTATTTTTTTTTAAGTGGACGTGTTTTCAGCATAAATGAACATCTTAAAACTAAATTGGATAAAATTAACAATAAACTTGAGCAAATATCATTTGAAGAACATAATGAGCTTAAGCATTCAGTCCGTGAACATGTCATGTGGATAGAAGACTGTTGGACATGTCTTCATTGCTTGTATCCTTTTCTAGTTTGTATTTAATCAAAACTTGTGATTTACAAGGAAATAACAGAAAGTGCGAATATTGAATGCTATCTACCATCTTGGTTAAAAATTCTTAATGTTGCCAAAATCTTATCTTGAAGTGTGATAAAAAACTTAGCTTAAGTTGTTTTAATAATTATTACAGTAAAACATACTATGAAATATCATGGGGAACAAAAAACAAAATAGTTTAATTAAATAAAATATTTTTTTATTTAATTTCATGTATATTTTAGTAAAATTCTTATTAATGTGCTTGTTATAGTAAGTGTATTTTATTTAAACTACTGAATTTAATAAAAGTAGTATCAATAAATACTATTATTAATAAACAGCAATATCTTCATAAATTTGATCTTAATTGATTAATAAAAAAGTTGGTTTAATTTCCAAACATATTTTGTAAAATTAAAATTTGTTATATGAAAAAGTTTTACAGTATGTAATTATATACATAATCTTGTAACTTTCATTCAATGAGAGTATACTCTGTTCCAAATAAGATGACTTATGCGCAAACGACCGAATTACGTTCAGTTTACATCGGAGTAGATCGCTCGCTACCACCCGCGTTGTGAAACCGGTCGCCACATCGTGCCGCCTAACCAATGTTTTTGCGTGCGCAAACACAAGTCATCTTATTTGGAACATAGTATAGACATGATAAATTCTAACAAAGTTTATTTTTAAGCTGTCAAATTTCTCTATAAATAGAACTTTTTATCCTCAAATTATAATTATTTTAGGATTTCCCCCAATATAATAAAAAACAATTGATTTAATAATTTAATCATAATGTAGTTTTAATCAGAACATCTTTATAATATATATGATGTAATTTATCAATAGATTCTATGTATAGTATCTATAACTATATCTATGTACAGTAAACATATTTTTGTGTTACACATTTGAAATTCATATGATTATAGCAAAATTTAAAAAACTATATCTTAATTAAAAATATAAAACAAATGAATTTAATATAGTGTATCATAAATTATAATTGTTTTGATTATTTGTATCTTTATTTATGGAACAATTAATATTCAAATTTAATTTAAGATATATTAATATAAATCTAAAAAATTAAAATTAATTAATTAATTAAATGCAAATCAATAAATATTTATTTTGTTATGATAAAAAAAGTGTAGAAAAATATAATAAGCCAAAATATGAAGTAACCCTGTTCCCAGTAATAGTATTTTTACTATAAAAATCAAATTTTAGTTATTTTTTCTTTTAAATAGTTTTATAATGTCATGTTTATGTTAGAGATTTTTTAGATTCTGCATAAATATTTCATTAAATTTACTTATGTAGTACAAATACATTGTGTTATTATTTATTATATTTAAATGTTAATAATATTTAAGAAATCAGCTACTTTTGTAATTCTTTTTTTTTATTTCATATAGTTCTAATACTCCACTAATAAAATGATTGTATACAAACATATATTATGATTTTAATCTTAATTTGTATACATTTTTAAAGCAAATATTTCTATTTTTAAACATTTTAATCATTTTAGTAATATACATTGAAATAAGTTTTTTTTATAAATGCATGCATTCTGTTGAAAGTTATAGAAAAATTACTTTCCTTAGCTAATATACTTAGATATATGCAACTTGATTTTGCTATGATGTCATTAATTGTATTAGATGAAGAATCAGCGGCGAATCTAGTCAAAGCAATTCAACAAGATGAAAAAGATAGATCAACCATACAAAAATCACAAATTTATATGCAAAGCTGCTTAAGTTTAATAAAGTTTATTACAAATAAAACTAAGGTTAAACAGCTTTGCGTATAAATTTGATTTCCTTATTTATTCTTTTCATCTTGTTTCTATAAAATATATTGTAAAAAAAAAAAATAAATAATTTTCTCAGAGCTCATTTTATCAATTTTATTATTTCTATTGATCTTATTAATAAAAACAGTTTTACATTATAACAGCTTAAAAACTAATAATATAAACTTAAATATAGGTACTGAAAGGTGATTAATATTTGATACCAGAATTTGTGCGTTTTGATTAACTATTCTTCTTTAATGGCACTGTGATTATTTCTTTTAATCCAGCATAACATATTTATCCATATAAATGAACACATTCCAACATATATTACACGAGCAGGTGGCGGCACCAACATAAAATTAATAGCTTGTGCTGGTATCCAAAACACACAACTAGTTTTGAATGTAGGAATGAACTTTTGTCTGCATTCTTCAAATAGATCTTTTTTACCCTCTAGGAGACTCATAGCTATAAAAAATTGTTATCAATTATGAAGAGCAATTAAATAATTCATTTATATTTTTATAACAAATTGAACTTACTAACGAAAAAAATTACGTAGAGTGGTGGAGTCATAATAAATTGATCACATAACATTTTTTTAACAATAATCTTTGGTGTAGTACCCACAAATGCTTTGTCCAGCCATTTATACCTGAAAAAATAAATATTATTTTATCGATTAAAAAATATATAAACTATTAATTAAAATGGTTTTGAAAAATGTATTATTTATATTACCATATGTATAAAATGTTTGGATTAATTAGAGTGCCCACTATAGCATATCGTCCTAATACATCCAAGTCGATCGGTTCTCGTGGTTCAGTTTTATTCTATGAAAATGAAAATGTTTAATTTTGATAAAATACATTATACAATGCCATTAAGTACTTTACCAATATACGTTTAGTCATTATTTGTTGTGAAAATTCTGCTCCGACACTCATTGTACCATAGACTGCTGAATTAGCTAGCATTGGATATTTTCTAAAAGTTTCCTTCGCTATTCTTATTAGTCTTAACATTTTTGAAAAATTATTTAATTTTTCTGAAATTAAATAATTTAGGTTTAGATATTTATAATTTATTAAATCAAATTTATACAAAACCATGTAAGTATAGATTCTACTCACCTAGAATATTATTAAACGGTAAGGAAAACGTTAGGACTGGTCTATAACCTATTACCTACTATACATTTAAAATTATTTTTACATAATATGGTCGCACCGAATTCGATACTACTGAGATAGCATGCGTAATTTGTATACCTAGTGGTTTTGTTTCGTTTTATAAGTTCCCCCACGTTTTTTATTGGTTTCATTGTGGTTTTCTAGCGCTGATGGTGTTGATTTCGAGTACAGCGTAATAGGTACTTCATTATACATTAATTCATAATAATCCACAGTTCACTGAACATTTATCTAACTTGTAGACGAGTACAAACAATGTACACGAGTCTTTAATAATAATTAATTACCTATTACCTAAGATATAAACAATCAAACAGATATTGAAAACGTCGATCGATGTCTGCCTAGTGCCTACTGCATAGGTATATTAAAGATTCGCTTAGTTTTGTTACATTTATAACAACAACGAATTCGTCCTATTCAATTATTCAATTAGGTATATGAATTAAGTTCCTAAAACTAAAATATATTTATTCAGTATAAATGCTATGTATTAGTCGTTGGTTTTAGTTTATTACCTACGTAATACGTATACCCATGCACTATTGAATCATCTTATAACAATTATTATACAATAGTCGTAGAAGCTAACTAGGTATTGAGTAGTTTTATTATTGTCAATAGTATTATCGTTAAGTATCTATAAAAATTACACTACAATTATAACTTCTGATCACAAAGCATTCCATAGCAACAAATGCGAATGATAGACACCCCGACAGTGCCTACAAAATAGATAGGTATGTTATGTGCAATACGCACTAGTAGCCCATAAACCGTAAGCACTATAAGCACTAGATAGTACGATACATCATTTAAAATTATAATTTGTTAAACAGATTTATTTAGCGATTGTATTACGAACGTAATAATACTGTAATTCAACATCATGTTTTAATATTGTCTTATGTAAAATTTGAGAAATTTTTACGAGTTGCTGTACTCTAACTTAGAATGCAAGAAATACGTATATATGGTCATTGACGTTTAACTGCTTATGAATATGGATATGTATATTATAAACAGAGGGATTTTTTTATCAAACTTTATTCAAATATCTATTAACTTTTTAAAAAATATTTTCTTTTACACAATTTCCAGTTGAAATAAAACAACATTTTTAAATATTTTTTATCGTAATTTATTTTGAAGTTTTTTTTTACTTTTTTGAACAAAAATATGTGTTCTTAATTTCATGTTCTGAAATAGAATATTTTTTGGAGTATTTCGATTCATAAAATTTTATGATTTTCTTATTTTCTAATTGTAATTTGAAAATGAATTACCGTATTCTTGAAATGTTCACTAAATGTACATTTTTTGAACACATGGAATAATTTTAAAAATATTTTGACTGAGCTATTTATAGACAATAGACATTTTCTAATATTATATAAAATTCCGCTTATCTAGTGAAGATTTGTGGAAACTGAAAAACTAATACATTTATGAAAGAAATTGCTGATATTGGAAGATTTTTATTACCTACCTATATAATCGTCATAACTTACTCATTTTTTCTTCTACTTACAAAATTATAAACTTCTACTACCTATTATTATTCAAAATATTAGCTAGTAAGTAACACTCCGCGGTCTCCACGTGACCACAGTGACAAGTGAGAGGTAATTTTAAGCTTTAAAAATAACGCTTAGATACACGAGAAATCGAATTAAATACTTATACATTTCAAAATATCATCGTGAAATAATATTATTATCATTTAATAAAATTCATAATGAATTTACTCAAGACTCTATGACAATAAAATTGCATGCAAATATATAGGTAAATATTAATTCCTATAATGTGGGTACTTATTATTAAAATACATAGAATTGAAAAAATGACTAGAAAGGGGCCATAAATGTCTTTATATTACATTTATTTGAAATATTCGAATCCCCTTCCTTTTTGATCAATTCCTGAGTATATAATATGTTATGTATATATTTGTAGTTTCGACCTGTATAAAGTTAAGCGAGCAGATTGAATTTAGACTGATTAACATATCATAATATGTGTGGGGAAAATGTTTTATTGTTTTATAACGACCTGCAGGATATGGAAATTGCATTCGACAGTAACCGCTCTACAAAACGTGTAGGTATCTATAATAATATATACGTACACAATACGCGTATGTATATAACAAAATAATCTAATCACATCGCTACACCAGTAATATTATTATTCAAGGATTAATTCATTAAAAATTCAAAAATGTTTTTAATTCATGGGATAGGTAATAATAGTAATGGGTTATTTAATTATTTTTGCAACCCAAATAATGCGGTAATATTAACAATACGCCATGTGCTAATGCCTATATATTATAACAAGAGAATCATAAAGAAAATATACTTATTTAGGTACCACCTAGTATACAGTTTGAGAAAAAATTATTTATATTTCATAAAAGTATGTTAAATTAATTGTATTCTTTCTTTAACTTAGAAGTTTAAAAATTTTCTACTATTAACTTATTTCGAGGAGCAAAATTATATCTTTGCCCTCCTCTCTCCCGCTATAAACATTTAACAAATAATAGTACTAAATCATTAAAGTACAACCGGATAAGGCTAATATTATAGACCTAGTAAGTACTAAGTATTCTTTATTTATATCATTAATATAAACTAGCTGTAAAATCTAACTTCATCGGGGATAAATGAACAAATATAAAATATGGCGCTACGGTCTACCTCGATTTTAATGAACCTCAGTTCATGGATAAATCAGTGTCTGCGGCGTCTGTGCTTCTCGCTTGGTGAAGTACTGAAGTGTGAACTAATTCGGCCAAGATAAGAAATCATCTGCGATGGACTAAATATAACATTTAGAATGTTTTTAAACGTGGCATAAACTATTCTCTAAGCAGTCTAAACTTTACGGTCGTGGATAATTCTACCATTTTCGTATGAGTCGATGTCTCACGTAAATTTCGTATTAATGGGTTATTATGTTGGTAATAAGACGTCTTTGAAAATGTTAGTAGTTGGTAATGTATTTTGCTTCTTCGTGAAATATATTCAATTATTATAGGTAGGAATGTGTTGTTTGTGATGTAAAGGAGGGGGGGCATTTACTAGTTTTTTTAACGTTATATTTTGAAACATTTCGAATTTATATACCAAGATTAGGTTTATCTAGGAAGTTTTCTATGGCCATTAAAATGTAATGTATCACTTACAAAGAAAGTAAAGAAAAAAATCAAATGAAAATTGATGGAAACCTCATTTAATTCACCGTGAATATTCAAAAATAATATTTTGTCTGCAGTCCATATTATAAACTTTGTCCCGGTTTGATATTTAGTAACCCCTGCATTTGCAAATTTACAATGCAACATTGCCCTATATAACAATTAACAGTACTTATACTACTTATACCATACAATCTGAATGGATATCGGCTGGTGCAGTGGTGTACCGTATAGTCGTATAGACATATTATTATAATATTGACGGTTATCGTTTTCATACAGCCAATTACGTTTATTAACTAAATAGGTAGGTATGTATTGGTGTCGTTTTCAATTGAATTCGCAGTACCTATTCACAATATGATCGCGAGAGTGTGAGACTGTCGTTCATTCAATTTGCTGTTCAAATACTGCACGTCATAATAGAAAACGAATATTATGTACAAAATATTATATGAGATATTATATCATATTTTATTATTCAGACATTCAGTGTGAAATCATTGAATTAGCTTATATCACCATAAATTATTTAAACGATATGAAATTTAAAACCACAATTCATTTATAACTGTGTAAATAATACATACGGTAATGATAACATTCAAAAAATCAAAAGTTTGACCTAAATCACTTAGGCACCCAGTAAATATGTAAAAATGACTACTAAGGGAAAGAAAGAACATGTTATATACTTAAATATTATTATATATGAAATAAAAAAAAATATAATTCAGTATGTTATTAGTAATTACCTAGGTACTTATTATACGTATATAAATTATACCTACATTAGGTATATGAGTAAATCTATTCTGTGGTATAGGTACTGGTAGATAGGTACACCAATATTCTCTTGAAGTGATAGGAATAAAAAAAAAAACAGACATTTTCAAATTATATGTAATTAATAAATTATGGTAATATGGTTATCATCAAACAGGATATGATCGTTTACCCACGTATTTTTTTTATTTTCTTTCCTATACGCATGTTGCGTCCGTTATGTCAACGTCGATACATATATCAACGTAGAAATAGAAATACTAATGTTTGCAAGTTAAAAGATTAAGTCTTTATTTAATACAATTAACTCGTACAAGAATACAATTTTATAAGCACAAGATGGTGTGAGTGGTGTTACGACCTGCCTCTGAAATACTGATAGACGAGACCGTGAGTGGTGTTACGACCTGCCTCTGAGCGTCTCGAATATCCCTAACCGTCTGCTGAGCTCTTGCCCTGGTCTCCCTTATATATGGTTAACCGTCAAGAGTGGTGACTGAGGAGGTGGTGACTTCCGATGACCTAAAGGAGCTCTCTAAATTAAATGTATTATTCAGTTGGGTGCCTTTCCTGCGATTTCATCGGTTCTAAGAATTACAAGACGTGTGATCAAGTCTTAATTGTCATATTAAATAGTACAATGTTAACACTATCGTTTACTCATCATTTCTGAGAAGTCCAGGACGTGTGATCATGTCTTATTCATTATATTAAATATCACGATGTGCAGGTGATCGCCATAGCCGTTCGATACTACACTGTTTGAATATGTTATTCCATCGGTATACACATCACCTCTTCGTATAATATATATGTGTAAAATAACACGGTACGTAACACGCATTTAAGAATTTTAACGTTTTGATAGTATACCAGTGTAAACTCTTTATTACACTATTAAGTACACTAATGCAATATAATAATAATAACAATGATTCAGTGGCGTAAATTGACCTAAATTTCTGATGGTGTAGATAAATATTTAAATTTCTAACCTATACCAATACTCCAATGTCTCCAACTTCCTTTGTAAATCCCCGACTAATAAATAATTAATTTTTTTTTATAAAATCAATTAATAAATATTGAATTATTTTAATAATACAAACTTAACATTTTTTTACATTTTATAATATACAACAACTTGCAGTGTTGGTAGTTATGGACTATGGTTAATATAAATGGAAAACCTTTTTGTCTTATACATTCTATTTTTACTTCTATAACTAGCCACATACTGAAAATATTGTCATATTTTTGATCAAATATTTTATTAAAAATTCGTCTTCAAGTGATGTGGTTAGGTTAGGTTAGCTGGAAAATTGTTTACCTAGTTTTACCTAATTAGTATAAAAAACGACACTCTCACGACAGTTATTACAATTTATAAAATTTATTATAGTATACAGTGAAATGTACATACTTCAATACTTGTCATACTATTGTTTAATAAACAAACATAGACTATTAAAAATAGAAATTATACAAATTTCTATGGTTTGGGCGGCGTTGCAAGTGCAACTTTTATACCACTCGATTTACACAACTGTTTTTGATATATAGCCCTCGCTCAAATATTTCTTCTCTTCCACCTCACCTATATCATAGTTCTCCACTTCTAATTGGCTGACACAATCATTGCCGTGTAAATAAAAAATGTTATTAATTAATTAATTGAAGATATATTTAATTCGTAAATTGTTTCCTAATTTATTCTGTGTACCTACTAGGTAACTACAGCTAGTGTACTTACTTAGCTACTAGCTACTTCTATCACTGGATAAAAAATAATTATTCTGTGCTTCAAATAGTGTTTTTTGATTTGTTTATTTAACGAGTAGCCAAAGTAAAACTAGTACCTACAACTGTGCGATAATACCTATCTAATTTTTCATGGTACTACATATATATAGTATGAAATAAATGGTTAAGTTTATGCACATTGTACAATGTATCTCTATCATACATATTTGTATGTAATATAATATATAGTATAAATAGTATAATATTGAGTATTATACCAATATACTATTGAATAGTAGGTATTCCTTTCAAATTACGTATTAAATTATATACTTATACATATACCTACTATGTTATATGTTTGTGGTGTGTTAAATCTTAAGGATTTGATTAAGTATTACTCGTTGCATAATAATAAGCAATATAATTAGAAAAGTAGTAGAAGGTATGTATAGTTTTTTTGTACTTTAGTAGTGTTCAGTTTAATCAATATATAGGTATAAATAAAATGTTTTTTTGCTAAAAAAATGAAGAAAAATAACTTAAAGTAGCGTGCGGCTTCTACAGCGATCTAGAATTTATGTTTGATAAAGTGATTTAATTAACTTAAAAAATTTGCATTAGTTAAAGTAAAAATAGTAATTAATTAAAAATAAAATATAAAATTAATTAAAATTAAATAGGTACACGATTGTACAAACGACGTGTGACATGAAGGTGCTTTAGACTCAATGACTATTCCTATGGTACCTACCTACATCTGAAAACTATGTACTTATAGGTAGGTACCTATAGCGAACTCTCATATAGGTACATAATTACGATGTTGTTCTTTTTTTCTTAGACCAAAAGTTCTACACGTCGGCCAATACTATTGTATAGGTAGTTTACATATTGACAAAATCGTTATAAGAGGTTCACTATTTGGTATAGTGGTGTGGCAAACTTGATTTTATTTGAAAAAGACAAATATAATATCTTACTGACTCACGACCTACCTAAAGTATTTTTATTTTTAGATACTTACTTTTTGTAATAAAATATATTTCAGTTAATGCTAAATTATTACCTAATGCCTATTAACTATGCTGTCTACTCACCCACCAGTCCTTTGAAAAATCGGATTGTTTGATATTACTTTTGTAATTACTAATTTGTAATACCAGTTGTACAACATTTCAACTTTCAAATACATATGTAATCATATAAATGATAAAAATCACTTTTAGTATGTGTTTTGTCGTTTTGTGTTGTTTTTCAGAAATGTATCTACTTCTATATTCATAATTGTTAGTTGACTAACTGTTATTAATACCCTACATAGGTACTTATTGAATTAAAAAAAAATAATACAATTCATAATGAAATAGTGTTATTCAGTGTTTTACAAATTAGTATTATGCTTGAATCATTTACAAAGAATAATATAGCTGAATTTAATACTTTAAATATTGTTTATACTTTTCATACCAGCTTGATTTTTTCTTATTATAAAATAAACTTTTAACTTTGAACATAATTTTGATTAAATAATTTTTTTATTAAATTAATAAACAACTGATAGTTAATGGCATTTTTTAAATTATATGAAATTATTTTTTAAAAGGATTAAGATAGTCAATAAGCTAACAATACATTTAAAGCCATATTGGTATAATGGTATGCAATAGTAATAATAAAAATGCAAAAGTTGCTTGATGAGGAGGCAAAAATTTTAAAATACTTAATAAGTTAATCTTAAGTATATTATTTTTTTTAAATAATATTAAAATAACTGGATCGCGTGTAAATGTGTCAACCAGCCATAAATATCCAAGAGTTAAATTTATCTGACTGGCTATGGAGTATTTAAATATACAAGGCACAACTACTTTGCCATTAAGCCAGCCTTGATAAAAGGTATAATGAAAAACCTTTAAATTTACATAACATAAAATAATATAATATTTTAAAAACAAATCAATGATTATTGACTATCAACAATATTTTTAAATACTTTTTATATTTATAAAATAAATTATTAAATTGATACAATTTGATCAGTCATTATAGAGACCTTGTATAAAATCCACATCATATACAGTAACAGTTTTTGTGAATTGAATGTTATGTTCATGTTTTAAATGTTCTTTAATTTGCAATTTTGAACTAAATTTTTCTTCACATTCTCCACAGTCATAGAAATCTGTTTTGCCATGTATCTTACGCTCATGACATCTAAGATTGGATAATTGAAAAAAAGTACTGCCACAGAAACTACATTGAAAATCTCCACCATGCGTATTCAAATGAGATTTTAATGATGCACATGTAGCAACCTGAAAAAAATCAAGTATTAAATAATTGTTATTATTAACTATTAATATTATACAAATTTTACCTGAGCTGGACACAGATGACACTTGAATGGTTTATCTTCACTATGAGTGATAATGTGATTTTTTAATGTATTAGAATGACTAAATTTTTTATTGCAAATATGGCATTCATAATGTTTTTCCCCACCATGGGTTCGTTGGTGAGCTACTAAGGTACTTAGATGTGAATAAGACTTGTTGCATTCAATACACACATATGGTTTATCACCAGAGTGTGAGACTATATGATATTTCAGACTATTGTACCATTGAAATTCTTTATTGCAAATTTTACATTGGTATTTCTTAGTTCCATCATGTTTGCGCATATGTTTATTAAGGTACCTTCTATTTTTAAAACTAAGTTCGCAATAATTGCATTTGAAGGGTCTAACATTTGTATGCACATCACCATGCATTTTAAGTTTATAATGGCAAGTAAACTTTTTATTACAAATTTGACACTCAAAAGGTTTCTCACCAGTATGAGTTCGTATGTGTTCCTTGAATCTAGAAAATTGAGTAAATGTTTTACTACATAGTGTGCATTCATAATATTTTTCTCCTGATTCTGTATATAACGCCCATATAGTACCAGGCTTTGGGCTGTCATAGTGTACTTTCAAATGCGTTCTTATACCTAAAAATAATAACCACAATATCAATAAATTAATCTATCTATTATGAATAAAATTATTTACTATACAATACCTCTTTTAGTATTATAAATTTTTCCACATAAGTCACATTCAAATTCCATTTGATCACAATTGTCTCTTCGATGTCTGATCAAATGATCGGCCCTAGTAAATTTATGTCCACACAACTCACACTGGTATGGTTTGTCTCCTGAATGACTCATCATATGATAATGTAAGTTCCTGGCTTGTTTGAATAATTTATCACAAATATTACATTGAAATTGAATGATATTGTGTTTAGCCTCAAAATGGTCTTTTAATTCTTTTGCAGATTCAAATTTAGCGTTGCACATATTACATATGTTTTCTATTTTACTTTCCAAACATTTTTGATGGCGTTTCAAATGAAGCATAGCTAACGATGGGAAGAGATAGTGTTTATTACATAGTGAACATTTGAACACTCGTTTTAATTTCTTTTGTTTATTAATGTTTAAAGGTAATGCTATACAATTATGTGCTTGGTGTTCATTCTCAAAAGTTAATTCACAGCGTAGACATTTAAAAATATTACGAAAAATAAGATTTTTGTCCAAAAAATCTTTGACATCTTTTCCTGATATCAATTCTATATTTTCCTTGGCTAATATCTTTTTTTCGTAAGATATAGTTGACAAATATTTGTCATCGTCTCTGTCCATCATCCTAAAAATTAAAAGTTAATCATTAGATTATCAATTTATTATTAGTTTTTAGTTATGTATTTTTTTGTAAAATTTATTACTTATTTAAAATATAAGTTTTATTTTTACATTCAACACGAGAATTGGAATTTGTTTGATAATGGTCAACTAAAGTAATAAAATCTCATATTAATATAAATGGTATGTAAAGCTAATATATTTTGCAATGTTAGTCTATTAAAGGTACCTTATAAGTTTAACAATTGTTTAGAAGATTAAAAATCTAATTTTGAATTGTGTGTTTGAAAATAATTGGTATTAAGTTTTAACACTTTAAAAGTATTTATTGAAAATTATAATATAAAATTAAACTGTAAAATGTTGTTAGGTACTTATCATTGAAATATATTTTAACAAAGTTTTTTTTGTTTATGTTTTATTTATAATTTAAAAATATAATAACATATTGAATTAAGAAATGTTTACTTTTAATCAAAAGTGTTAATTATTTCATTCTAATATCATGAGAAATTAACTTCCTTAATTTATATCTTTTATCTATTAAATTGTGAGATAAATACCTATATTTTTTTAATTTATAGCCATGAAGACATTTAAGCAAACTAAAATATATAAGTCTCTACTCTCTATATTATATTTTCTTTCGACTATCAAAAAGTTATATTATGTCTCAATGCATTGGTTTATATCATCAAATTTAAATTTGTCTTTAGAAAAAAAAATATAAGGTTTAGTTGGTTAAGTCAAATGTAAAAATTCTTGAAGTGATAGAAAATATTGTAATTTTTGATAGTTTATAAAATTGACCAAACATAAGTTGAAAGTCGTTAATAAGATTGAAATATATCAATGTAAAATAATCTTTCGTAAACACTTACCTCGATGACGTGGACGGAACAGCGACAGTTTACATAAATCGATGAACAATTTTATTTATAAAGACGATCGAGTTACTGTCCAAGGAATTAAAAAAAAAATAAAAACAATAAACTAATATTTAAAACGAAAAATCTTGAAAAAAAAATACGATATTTTGATAAACAAACATTTATTTATCGTTCGGCGATGGGCGGCAGTTCATTTGTTATCATTCAAATAGACGAAATTACAGAAGAAATATTTGATAGCCTGATAACGCTCAGTGCCCGTCACACAGATAATAACAAACTTGAACTCAGTTGTAATCACATAAATCAAGTCAATCATACTATTGAATTTAACAAAACTGCTTAGACAATGAGATTCTTCACTCGTGTTATTGTTTTCCGACACGACGGAAACGATCGAGACGTATCGATCTCATTGACTACAGATTCTGTCGTACTACGACTTCCGCAAACAGTTTCGTTCGATGGCGATATTTCGAGTCGTTTCGGCCGCACGCACTGTCATTATGGTGGATAGGTGTAAATAAAAAAAGCAAAACACAAATTACAGGTGAATATATTATTACAGGTAACACAGGTACTATGGTAGTGAGGCACCTCTGTTATACAGGTGAGGTGAAATATTATTGCCACACTGCCGCCGCCGCCTCAGCAGCAGCAGTGACTCCGTGAATAGTTCGATTGTTTTTTTTTCTAATTTTTATAATAATAATTGTTTTTTTTTTTTAAATTTTTTAAATAATTTTGTCATCGAAAAATGAACACATCAGTTGGTTTATTACTGCGGTATCGACGGCACCCACCCACCACGTTCTCGTGTACATTGTATTATCTTATCCGTTAAGTGTGAGTCGGGCTCTGGTTTTTGTACACTGTTATCTGCAACTCTCTGTTCTACAAACCCCTGGGGTTGTCAATACTCAGACCTGTCAGTGACTGCTGAGTTGCTTGAAATTTGTTGTGTGTGCATTATTTATTTATTTTCTAAAATGTCAGTTTAACTGTTCAATTGTGTTTGGTGTCGTACAACATATGGACATCTCTGCTATAGTTATGTGATGAAGATTCTGTGACCATTTACTCATCAAATACATATCACAACATACGCTTATAGGACAGTCAAAGGTTGGTGATATTTAAATATTCTCTTCACTTTACTATTGATTAACCTAGTTATTATAATTTATGTACAGTGTAATCTAATTACACTCTGATTTTAATTATTTAATCCAATTTTTCTAAATTTTTATTGAGTTTCTGCACGGTAATCTTATCCACAGTTTGTATTTGAATTGAGCGTGTTACATTATTGTGTTATAATGTTTGGGCCTACAGAAGACTATTTAGCTTTTATCTTTTACCGTTTTTAGACCTATAATTATAAAGGTGTCTACTGATAATCTTTTGACCGTTTGGATATCAAATTATTACTAAATTAATTTTTATTGCTCAATAAATCTAAAGTTGATATTAGTGTTGCCCAATGCAATCTTTTTAAACATGACTGTTCTGCATTTTATACTTTTACATAATCAAAATGTTTTATTTAAACTATTTTCAAGAGTTTTATATTTTTTTATTAAAATATTAATTTATGTGAGTGTAAGAACTGAAGTAGTGATTACAATTAATCAATTTTGGTAAGAGTATTTTCATTTAATTATTAATGCTTTTATTTTAAACAAGATAAAAATATTATAATTAATATTTCTTGGTAACAATAGTAACTAAAAATAATAGAAATAAGTATAATTTTTACTTAGACAATTTTTAAGTAGAAAAAGTAACATTTTTTTTATGATAACTATATATTGACAACTTTTTTCATATAAAATATAAGTTGTTAGTTATTAATTATTATTATTAACTTGATTCTTCTTAGAGTTTTTAATTTGTTGTGAAGTTAAAAAATCAAATAAAGATAATTTAATATTATAATTTTTTAGTGTAATGTGTATTATCATTTATCACTAAACACTAACAATAATAATACCAACTAATATTATACTTAATAAATATTTCTGTGCATATCTCTTTCCATTATAAGATTACTAGTTATTGACAAATAGTATTTCCCATTGTTTAAAATGTTTAAATGATAACCATTAATAATCAACAGAGAATCTTAATGTTAAACCATCATTACCTATCGAAATAATATTTATCTCGCTGGTATGTTTGTTTTTGGATGGAAAATTTTCTTAACATTTTGTAATTTAATTAAAGTTTAAAGTATTATAATTTGAATGGCTTTATTTACACTTAAAAAAAAAAAGTAATAATAATTTATATTTTTAGTTTACCTATGTTGAAAAATAGTATTTACATAACAAACATTTGAAAGTGTTTAGGTATAATAATTATTTTTTTTTAAATATATTTATTTTACTTAACTTTTAAGGCTTTAATTATTCATTCTTTTTTTATCAAGTAAAACTTAGAAAGTAGTGATTTAGACATTTTTTATTTCTAACGTACCAATTAATCTAGTAAGCGATAAAAAATTTGAAAAATAATTTGAGCTTGTAGTAGTGTTACTACCTAACCTACTACTAGTAAGTAATTTTCTTGACATTGATTTTCATACATTTTTGATTTGAACTTCTCCAAGAATTAGTTTATGATCATTTTTTAATTTTTATATTTTAGAGTGTATAACTTTTTTTTACGCTTTAAGTAGACTTAAATAAAAATTGAAATCTAATTTTAAAGTTCTTATTGTTTTCTTAGATTAATTGATACGTTGGAAATAGATCACGTCTAAATTCTCGTGTTACTATTACGTGGCTGACAGAGACAAAAAAATGACCGCTTGTAATTCTCTTAAAATGGATACCTATAAAAAAAAACCTATTTTCTAGGAAACCCAGCAAAACTGAAATTTTTTTGTTGGTTTCCAACTCCCAAACTCATAATAGATTCTACAAGTTAAATGCTGTTCTATATTATTTATTTACATTGTATTATATAGTAGATCTTTTCGTTAATCCTCAATTTACATAAATTCGTTGTATTTACTACATTTTCTTTACTTGTATAGTCGATATCGGTTAGATCGTAGATACACGTATCATATATTTTTCCATATAACTAATAACTACCTAACCTATCTACGATGAACTGAATATTTTTGTATTAATATGTCAACAATATTGAGTTTTTATCTACATATTTGTTATAGATACGGTTTTGACCATTTGTCAAGAATTACTATATATTATAGTACCTATTATATGTATATTCTTATTAGGTATAACATAAGTTATAATATAAAGTTGGAGAGCTGATCGTTTAGCAATTTAACATTCATTATTTTTAACTTTTAACAGGTTTTAGAATTTAAGACTGTACCGATCTCATTATTTTATTTGTTATCATGACGAAGTTTTTTCTCATAATATTCTTGGATTAAAAAAAAAAAAATAGAACGATTTATGAATTATTCATAATGCATGGATCACGATATTACTCTATACAATATTAGAAAATATTATAAAGTACAACAGTTAACAATAATACGATCATTATTATAACGTATTTTTCTTAAAATTAAATCCATTTCTGGGAAAAAATATTTTGATTCTCTTCTGACGCGAAACTGCGTTGGTACCTATTTCAAACAATATTCAATTAGTTTTTTTGATTTGCATACTTAATAACGACAAAGGAAACTAAACCTACACTGTATGCGACTTGATGATAATATTCAACAACAGAATATAAATTATGACGAAAAAAATGCAAGTCAATCTTAACGACCTTCGACGGCGCGGCGTTAACCTGAAAACTAGGAAACTACACAATACACATTTGACATGCATCTTTAGTTTTATTTTTTACCATGACCAGTTCTTAAATAGGTTTTTATTATAATACGTAATTAAACACGTTCGTTTAATATATTTATCAATTCGCGAACCAAGGAAGTGTAAATATGCATTACCGATGCTCTTATATTCGTTCTAGAAACAGTAAACACATCATTATTACGATTTACTGTGTTATTGACAAGAGTAATTTTTAAAATTATTGTTAAATGAGAAGTAGTGTGTTTTATGATGTAAAATATTATTGTTGATCCTTTTTAATATCAGTGAAATTACCAATGATATTTAGTTAGAAACTTAAAATCAGTCTATTTATGCCTTATGGGTTAAAACTTGTTAATAATTGTAAAGTTAACTAGACGCATAATCATGGTAAATATTATATTTTTTAACATTATTACTTGTTAAATTTATTTTTCCTATAGGTTTTATAGAATTGTGTTATTAGTATAATTATTAATAATTGTTTTATTTTGACCATATGGTATTTATTCTATTGCCAAATAAAAAATTACTATCGACATCTGGCTGTTGTCAAACTAATAATAAAAATGACGAGTACTGCAATACTACATAATATCATGTTCCTAAACGTTATTTAGAAACCGGCAGTTTATAATTATACATAAATATATATACGTTTTACTAATTACTTGCTAGTGTTCATAATGTAGTATGTTAATTAAATTTTTAAAATAAATAATTTGATGGGTTATAGAAAAAAATTAAATTAAATTAAAAAAATCTATAGTTTAATACTAAATTAATTATCAATAACTGCTCCTAAGGTGTTAGCATTTGCATATTTTATTGATTATAAAAACGTTTATGTTATACACCTTCAACGTACACGTAATGCATGTGTTTTTCATTTATTACTTATTTGTTTGTAGTAATACATATTTTATATTTTTACATCTGTATAGGTAAACCGATATTTCATGTGTTAATTATACATATATAATAGATCTTTAATAAAACCGCACGGTTTATATTCGTTAGACCGTATCTCAGTGAAGCAATTTCCACCACCAATTGCTTCATATTGTGTATGCTTTTTTAGGCTAATGTTGGTTTTGCGTGTTAACCGGGGTTATTGCGGCTTGAGAAAATAATAATGTGTACTATATAATATAATTGTGCTACTAGGACGAGACTTTGAAACTAAAAATGTTCCACTGTGTAACTATATTCTAATCTTTATTCGTCTTCATTACACTCTAAGGAGTTTAAAAATGATGGGAGTAATGGTTCATGACAATAGAGATGTTCTTTAATATTGTTTTGAACCTATCATGTGCGT